CACAGTGTTTCCTTAGTTCTATCATAATCCTCATCAAATGAGGAAAAGCTCATTTGATGAGCTTTTTCAGGGATTATTTATGCTTTTCTTTTTCCACCACTGTTTGCTCAGAGTAAGCACTCAATAAATGTGTATTGAATAAATGACACTGTAATGTTACATGTCCTGGTTTCATCTTTCAATGCCTAGCATCTAGGGTGATATCCAACATATAACTGATACAAATGTACAGTTTTTGGAAGCATGGATTCATGCATGAGTGAATGGCTCCACCATCTTGGCATGTTTATCAAAGGCAACTGAGTCATCCATAAAAACTGAAAACAATAAAAAAAAAAATCCAGTGAGCCACATCCCCCCATTCTGAAGATGAGTGAAACACGGTGACTCACTTACAAAGAACAGCACAGGGAAAGTAAAAAGACAGGAACTTTACAGTGGAGAAGCCGGGCAAATACAACTTTAACGAAGAGAGCAGGTTACCATCACAAGCATGTCATGTGGGACTCAGGTAACCCCTGATATGACGGGATGGGAAGGGTACTTCGCCTCTGCAGTATTCTTTCTAAGAACCTACAACTCCAGTCTAATTATGAGTAAAACAACAGATGAAGCCATAATAGGGGCTATTGTACAGGTCACTGGCCTGTATTCCTCAAGACAATCAAGGTCATGGGGGTGGGGGGTGGAGGAAAGACTGACAAACTGTCAGAGACCAGAGGAGACCGGGATTAGTTAACAGTAATGAAGCATTATCAGTTTCTGTGGCAAATGTACTATGGTATAAAATGTTTAACAATGAGAAAAACTGGGTAAGGGGTACGTAGGAACTCCTAGTAGTATCCTTGCAACTTTTTTGCAAATCTAAAGTTATTCCAAAATAAAGTTTATTTTTAAATATTCCATGATGGACAGCAGATGATGCACTTAAGAAATGTATAAGAACTTAAGAGAGGGACTTTGCAGATATCTGACCAGATCACTAAATATGGGTTTCACAGGTGTAAATGCCTTGCCATCGTAGCAGTCTCTTGTACTAGCTGACACAATAAAAGTAAATCAAATGATTACTCATATTTTCTTTCCGTAATCTTTAATATATACTAGTGTTTTCAATTCTATTTCTGAAAGTGAGAAAGAGAGTTGGAGGGTGGCGATGGTGTGTGCAGTTTGGTGAGAGGATATATATAAAAAAAGGGCAGCTGCTCTGAGCCCGGCTTGTGGACTTGCAGATTGAAGGGCAATGTCATAGCAGTGTCTTTTGGAATAGCAGCTCCAACAATCACAGCTACCATTTTGGGAAGGCTTGCTAATGTTGCCAGACTGTGCAGCGGGGCTTTCATATACAACATTACATGTAACCCTCAGCACGCTACGAGGCTGCAATTATATTCTCGTTTGAGAGATGAGAGATTTGGTCATCAGTAAAATTACTTTGTCAAGGTTGCAAGTGAGATTCAAACACAAATGTTTCTGACGCTTCTACTGAGTCATTAAACAGAAGACAAGGAAATTCCATTAGGACAACTGCCTAAATATCTAATTAGCCACAATCATTAGTCTTAACCAGATAATAATATACTGAGATAATATCCACTATATAGATACACTAAATTGTAAATGGCCAGATTAATATCCATGGTGCTGAGATACTGTATGTAAAAGGGTTGTTGAACACTGTACTTGATATACAACAGATGTTAGCAATGCCCCCCACCTTTATAGGCTACATCTGTTTTCAATTAGTTCCAAACTGGTTTTTACTTTTCTGCTTTAGGCCCTAGACTCATATGAATTATCACGGCCACTCAGAAGTGCAGAGTAAGCTGATACCAGAGTAAAGTTTAGCCAGTTTACCGGAGATAGAGTTACATCTTGGCCAGTATCAAGTCATTCCAAATATAAACATGTATGTCATGTGTCAGTGAAACTTTTTTGTACTTAGAAATATAAGAAATTTAAAAAAACTGATTACCCTTTGCCTAGACTATATGATTATATGCTTTATTAAGAACTTATTTATATACTTCATTCTGATTATGAGAGTGAGTTTCTGCTATAATTATTATAGATTTACTTGAAGAATTTTTTTTTAACATGGCTACTTTCTCCTTATGTTCTATTTCAAGTTGAATAGACTTTCCTCTCTTGGACCACATAACCATTATCTTGAGGATTAATAATTCATAAATCCAGTGAAAAAACTATAACTGTTTTAAGCAAGTCTGAAATTTACCAATAAGAGCAGAAGGAGAGAAAGACTAACCCTCTCTGTGTTATCATTTTAGAGGAAATGCCGCCAGGTGAGTTGGGGCTAAAGGGAAGGGAGACAGGAAGTATTTAAAATACTATAGCCATCTTTCTCTCTGCCAAAATAAATATGGCGATGAAAAGGGCTGCCCTCCCGTAATTACCACGGAGTCCTGCCTTACAGACAGAAGCAGGGCTTTGTAGGACAACAAACATCTGAGCTTGTAATCTAATGTGAATAATGATCCAGACACATGAGCAAGATTCTATTAAATGGTGAAGGAGAACAGCCACGTGCTGCCTGGATGAGTCACTTGGTGTACCATCAAGAAAGGGAACTAATTTTTTGAACCCAGGAATGCAGGACCTGCTCTAGTTCGGACTTGGATGTTGACAATAAATGAATGACCGAAGAGGATTCACCCGCTTTGTTCTTCCAGGATGCAGGTCAGAGCACATTCCTAGAGTCCCTTTTATCTAGATGTGTTCTATTTCATTTCATTAATGCTTCAGAAATAACCTATTTTGGCATGCACTGCACATTGGGATTTGAACTGGTTTTTGCCTTTATACTCAGTTTGAGCTGTCGGCCTTCCCATGAATCTGTAGTCACTTGCAATTTGGAGCCGGGGAAGAAAGGGTGAGTGTGAATAAGTCCATAAACCCCCAAGGACAGAGTTTCCTGAGCAACCACAGTTGAGAAGCATCATCACCATATATTAACTGTAGAATGACTGAGTTGCCTGCTTTTACTTCTAATTCATATGTTGTTTTCCTCAAATCTTTAGAATGAGATAATGCTCTGATTCCCTCTTTGAGAGTTTCTTTGTTCTTCTGGGTCCCAAAAGACATGGCTGAATTTATTGGACTTACATCAAGTCACCTCCCCCAATTTGATATAAGAAGTTTCCTCACATAGATGTTTTATCACATAAGAGATGATAAGCAGAGTACTTGCCAGGAAATGTCATCTTGTAAAAACTCAAATCACAATTACCTCTGGCAATAGTGGACAGATAATGCCCCAGAAAAGATAAGAAGAGGTCATTGAAATCCACAGATAAGCTTCAAATCTCATTTCAGCCAAAAATTTCAAAAGCTTCCCCACTCCTAACTGACTCTCCTCAGAGTTGACAGTAAGCTGCAAAATATTACTGGCTTGAGATCCAGTCTCTTTTTTAATTTTTCAAACTTGTAAGCTATTTGTTTAGAAGTTTGTAAGAAAAAGAACATAAAACACCATTCTTTTATCATTAGTAGCCTCTAAAAGTCAGTTTAATTTACACTGTTTGCAATCTCCCATTGCAAACGTATAGGTCCACCACCTTACGGTTAAATTAGATTTTGTGCTAGTCTGGCCCGCATAATCTCATTTACATTAGAAAATATAATCTGCCATTGGCAGAAGGGGGAAATGCAGAGGATCAGGGAATTGTTCCTCCTCCACCTCAAAGCATTCCTACCAAAGGGAACAGGAGTGAAGGATGGAGCGAGAAGGCTGGGGAGAAGCTGAAGGATACTGACGTTTACGGAAAAGGATGAAGAGGGTTGAGGAAGCTGAAGCAGTGAAAGGATGGAGAGAGAAATTCCATACAGGATGCCCTGGTAGGTTTAGTGCCTGAGTTACGGGGGAAGCGGATCCTTGCTCACTGTCACCTCCAGATCTGAAAGTCCCTGCCCCACCCTGAGACTGTCCCTGGATTTCGGGACTTCCATCCAGTACACCCCACTACAGATCACAGGTTCAGGAATCAGAGCTCAGAAATGTGCCCCCTACTCCACTCCTGCCAGTTTTAACTATTTTCATCTTCTACACCTTCAGGCAGGTCCACACTTGGGGCCAGTTAGGGTTTTCGTTCATAAATCCCTGGTTCTCTACAACGCTCCCTTCTCTCTGTTGGCATCCCTGCCTGTGCCCTTGGACACTGGCCCTCATCTTCTCTGCCTTTACTGCACTTGACTACTGGCCCCCACAATGAAGAAGGAACCGGGAACCCTAATATCCAACACACCTGTAGAGTCTTAACTGCTTCTGGCCGACGTTCCCCAGTTACCTCATATATTTTCATGGTACAGACAAAGATCTAAAATAGTGACTAGGAGATAAAAAATGCCCAATAAATATGGAATATTGAGCAAGGTGAACTAACAGTTATATATATTTAAAGAAGCATATGGAAAATACGAACATTGAAAAGGAATTTGTGTGTTGACTCAACTTAAGGTTTCAGAAGCACTGTCACCTCATGAATGACTCATTTTACCCTGACATTTACTACGCTGTGGGCCTTGCTTTGACGTCATACAATCACGTAACAGCTAGAAGTGAAGGACGTGTCTTCCCAGATAACTGTCACACTGGCATGAAGAATGAGGACAGTATTTGGTAATGCAGCCTCCAGGAAGAGACGTGTGCTGTCTCAAGAATTTTCTAGATGTTACTATACCATGTTGTATCACCATCATTCTGCTCTTCTCATTTTAGGTCAGCCTGGGAACTAACATGGTTCATAAACCAAGAGACCCTTACGTGGCATCAAGAGCAGAACTAGTTTATTCTGATTCCCTTTTCTAGTTCCACCTTCTTCAGCCCACAGAGCGTCACCTGGGGTTCCCATGTTACTACACTTCCCTTCATTTCTTTAATCATGACTTTCAGACACAAGATGAATCTATCCATCAAACCAAGGAGGACCAAGAAGCTGAAAACAGGCTGATCCCGTGATATCCATTAGGCACTTCCAACTTACAAGCTTCCCGGAGCTTCTCTTTGTCATAGTGGAATCCTTCATAGTCTTGTAAACTGATTTTGTTCACCCGGATCCTCAGACGGTCTGGGACAGACTGGGGACTGTAAAACAAGAACCGCATGGTCAGATATCAAGGAGAGAATGGAGCTGGGAGTCATATGCACCTGGACGGACTAAAGGCAATATCATCTCTTCTTATGAAGAAGAAAGAGTTCACATTCAAACCAGAATCATGGGATCTTGATGAGAATACAGCAATTATCTGGAGAACACGTCTCTGCAAACCTCAAGTTTCTGGAACGGAGGTAAGAACATGGGAATAAGCAGAAAAGGCTTCTGGAGCCCACTCATTTTTTTTTTTTTTTACTAACTTATTAAAAACTCCAATAAGATTCTGTGTTCAGTTCCACGATAAATGAGATGCAGCTAATCTGAAGTGCTAAGACGTGGTGTAGAGCTGGAAAGAACTGCTTTAGCAAATATGCCCATAACAGCTTGGCTCTCAGAAGAGACAGGAAAACATAAAAATCAAACCCAAGAATCCAGAGAGCACGGGGCTGAGAATGAAATGGCCCCACACACCTCGAACTCCCTGGGGCGCTTCTCAGTCAAAGCCAATTACAATGAATGCTGCCTGTGATGGGCCACTGAGGACCCCAAAATGGACGAAAAGTGTTAAAACACATACAACGTGCATTCTTTAGGAAGAGAAGGAAGTATTCAATTCATTTTAAAGGAATTCAAACTGGTTCAGGATAGATAGTGAACAATTAAAAGGGGGTCGTACCAAACTTTCTGAAGCATCCCATTCACCCTCAGAAGGCTTTTACCTGGATTCCTTGGACGTTTTTAACTAATATTTTCCAAATAGTTTAATCATGGGCATTAGTCGAGGGGAATAATTTGATCTTCATCATCACCACTATGGAACAGTACATTTATTCAATATATTAATATAACACAATCCCCATTTGTCTTTATTGCTTCTCCTGTCTTATATTATGGGGTAAAAGTCCCCATTGACTGAAGCAGAAAGAATAGCATTAGTCCTTAATTCACTTCAGGAAAAGAAAGAAAGAAAGGAAGAGAAGGAAGGAAGGAAAAGAGAGAAAGAGAAAAAGAAAAAAGGAAGGAAAGACGAGAGAGGAGGAAGGGGCGGGAGAGAGAAGAAAGAGGAGAAGGATGGATGGAAGGACAGAGTGATACTTTAAAAATATTGGCAGGATACCTCTACCCCAACCTCAGACACACATGCACTCACACACACAATTTCACTGCAGCTCTGGAAGAGGGAGAAATAATTTAAATTTCATTCTCTTGTCTAAAAACTCATTTTAGGGCAAAGTGTAACAACTCCTTCCATACATACTCCAACTGAACAGGCACTGGTGAATAAAACTGACCTGCATAAGTTGGGATGGGAGATGTGGTTTAAAGCACATTTGTGAATGAGCAGAACAGACCTTTAATATCACACGTACCCACACCGCCATTTACAGGTAGGGAACCTGAGATTCAGAAAGGTAAAGTGATTTTAAGGTCACAGAGCTACTAAGTGACAGAGCTGGGAGCAGAGTCTTGGACTCTTCATTCATCCCTTTCATGCTCCTTCTATTATACGATGCCAAGAATCCCACAGATTGACAGCAAAACCATAGAGCCCGGATTAGCAGAGTCGGACGATCCCTGCGTGATGTTCAGACTCTTGGTCAACGAACAATCGACAGGGGGCTGGCTAAGTAAACTGTTGGTACAAACAGGAGAACGCGGGGCAAATATTACAAATGAGTGCCTACCTTTAAAAGAAAGTCTGAGTACAATATGTTGTTAAGTGAAAAGAAAGTCATCGAAAATTACATATGGCATAATCTCCCTCATGGGAATTGTGGAATTTAGGAGTTTATAGAGAAGTGTCTGAAGAAAATGTTCAGTAAGCTGTTTGAGATGGTTACCTGTACATGGGGGGATTTGGGGATTATTTTACACTGAGTATCATCATTTATAGAAAAATAACGCAATTATTTTAAAGGTACATCCATAAGTAAATCAATGGTAACTCAGGGCAAGAGTAAAAGTAAGGATTATATCAGTGTTAGGTGTTAGATGTAAGTAGATAGGAAAGAGTTATTAACAGAGTAACCACACACCGTTCACACCAAATGCTGATTTTGAAATTAAGAGGGGCCTGATCTTTTTTTTTTTTTTTTTTCGGCTGCACCACACGGCATGTGGGAAGCTTAGTTCCCCGACCAGGGATCCAACCTGTGTCCCCTGCAGTGGAAGCGCGGAGTCCTAACCACCAGACCCCCAAGGAACTCCCAAGAGGTGCCTGATCTTTTTAATGTCAAGTTCACTCCAGTGAACTGCAAAGATTATAATTAGCAAACACTCTCCTGCAAGCGTAGAAGGTAAAAGGGAGGCTGGAAACATAGAACACGGTGGCCCATCATACTGAGTAACAGGAGAAGAGAGAGGGCAGAGGCTGAAAGAGCTCCACCAAAACATTTTTTGAGGTAACAGCGGATCTAGTGGCAGTGAGCTCTGGTCCTCTCCAGTGAGCTGGAGTCCAGAGCTGGCTACAGCAGCAGCTGCCGAGTTGGAAATGGGATTCAGAGACTGACTGCAGACCGGTCCCCGCACCCCTCCTCCAGGGGGCTGCCCGTGGGCTCACCAGTGTGAACCACCTTTCTCAAAATCCAACACTGTCTGCTGTCTGTCCACACACGTCTGCCGTCCAGGTTCTCATCTGAACCCACTGATTCCCACCACACACTACTGCCCCTGAACCACAGCCTCCCACCAATCTTATAGAACTTTCCAGGTCCCCTATGAATTCATATATTATCTCACTTCATCTCCAGAATGGAAAAGAGTGGAGACTCTCACTAACCAGCCGACGCTCTGTTCCTTCCACTTCCTACACAGTCACTCTTCTGCTCTCATCTCCCATCTTCTCCCAACAACCTGCAACACATCCCACTTTCCCACCAGTGGCAGCTTGCTTAAAACCAGCCTTCTGACTAGGGTACCTGGTATTTGGCCTGCTGTCAAATGGTGGCCCAGATCAGGCCAATCAGGAAGGTTGAGGACATTCACCCAGAGGGTCCCTGATGGATAATCCCTTTGAATTACTCTGGACCCTGGTATAAAGAGTAGGTACAGGAGGCAGCTCAGCAAAGTGGTTAAGAGCTCAGACTCTAGGTCAGATGGACTGGATTGGACGTAAAGTTCTTCCAGTTATTGGTTAATCAGGACACTGCGCTTCAGTTTCCCCATAGGAAAGGTGGGGATAATAACAGTATTCACCTCACGGGGATGTTATGAGAATTAAGTGAGTCAACACAGGTGATGTGCTTAGAAAAATGTCTGGCACATTGTAAGTGCTCGATATTAGGTATTATCGGTATAATTATTATTCTGAAGCTTGTTCTTTCAGGTAAGGTTCTGCCTAATAAGCACTAGCATCTGCTGCTGCCAGGTATTGGAAGGAGACTAGGGCCTATGCAGGAACTCCCTAGATACTTCTAACAAGCTGCTGGGCTTCCTCCGGGGGCAAACCGTCTAGCCTGGCTGGTGTCATGATTCTCCTGGATCTTCTCCCACTTGGTATTTTACAGGCCAAGTGATAACATGAAAACAGACAACTAGAACATGGGGGAGAAAAGTGCACAGAGATTAAATGAAAGCCAAGTAATTCGATTGTGTCCCTTGATGGCAAAATATATTAGTGTCCCATTAATGGCTGACCGGAGGTGAAGGATGACTAAGCTTTTCCTTGGACTCTGGGCAACAGCAGTGCCATTAGTTTTCTAAAATTAAATTTTGCCAAGAAAGTTAGCAGAGCATAGAAGAGACTAACAACCTGGTAAAAATGGATTTGCCTTTGTGCCAACTTCTACCCCAAGCTACTCTTTACTAATTTAAGCTCTGTATCAGGGGTTCTAAACCTGACTTCCATGGAACCCCTCAAGGTCCCTAAAAAGGACTCAGCAATCAGTGAACGTCCTTTAAAATCGGGACAATGGCCCCAACCTGCCGCCTTCTCATGAATTTCCTCTGAAACATCAAGAATACATTCCTTGTGTAGAGTGGAAGTTGATGGCTCTGAACTTAACTCCCAAATATCCTCATCATGACTTTCTCAAGAACCGTAATAAAAGCACCTCTCGCTGAAGTCACTAACAGGGGCCTCAGAATCTCCAGACTGTACCTTCTCTCTCCACCTATGCACACCTGTTACCTTGAGATGCTGGAGGGGGCGGGGGGTAGGTGCAGAGCCATCAAGACAACTCCCTGAACACAACTTAGATCGAATTCTCATCATTCTCTGCTACCCTTTAGTTCCTGCCGATAGATTTTTTTATTTGACTCTTCAGAGACTTTCAGTCCATTAGTGTCAAATTCCTTCCTCATGCCTCCAACCTTCTTCATTCTCTCAATCAATTTCTTTACTACACGTTGTCTCTCACAGACTGATAAAAGACTCCTCTCATCCCAGTCTCCTATGTACAGACACCCCTCATGGATGGAAGGGACGAGTTGGGTGCTTTTGTTCCCACTTCCAGACAATTAACATCACGTGATCCCTTCTTCTCATTGGAAACACAAATCACCTGGCAGTAACACCACTTAACCTTAAGACAATACAGCACAGCGCATAAAGCAGAACGCAGAATCAGCAAAATCTTAGTTCCAATCTGAACTCTATCAATTAACACACATTTGACATTCAGAGCTCTAAAGTTACCTTCTCTAAACCATTTTCTGATCTGAAAACTGGACTGATAGGAATATAGTGAGAACTGAATGAGAAGATGCATGTAAGGCAGTTAGCACACTCCTGTAAATAGTAAGTTTTCAAGTATAATGTATTGTTATTTTGTTACTATTATTAGCATCTTGATGCGTCTTCAATTTCCACAGGCCTTTTTAAAAAACTCAGTCCTGAATAGTAATATCACAGCAGAAGCCATAGTCAGAGCTCTAAATAGGAGTTAGTAGATCTCAAACCTTAGGATTTGAGTCTGCTGACATGGGTTGGGAGACAAGGTGCAGAGTTACGTAGCCATCTATCGTCCGTTGAATGAGAATGCAAGCGGGG